CTTAGTTTGAATTGATTAGCGCTAATTTGTTCCTTGTAAAAGGTTTGTTAATAATAATTTCCTAGTTGTGCGGTGGGGGCCCGGTGGGTCGAGGTTAGTTGATCGTGCAGTTTGGCTCAGCTTTTTATATGTGGAAGTCCGGTGGTGTGTATTCGTGTCTCCGTTGATCAATTGTGCGTAGAAATTATATTAACATTGATGTATTACTGGAGAAGCATTGACGGGTTATCGCGAACGGGGGGACGGGTCTATTTGTATTGTTAACTCATTTCGATTTTCTGGATTTTCGCTGTAAACAACGATTTTTAATTATATATATATGACCGTTTGTTTCTAATAAATGAAGTCCAATACCATTTATAATCGTTAACTTACAGTGTTATAGATTACTATTTATAGAAGTTTAAAGTAATCCGGACTAGTCTACAATAAAAAGAAATCACATGTAAAATCAGTAATGATGAAGGCGCAGAATCAAAATAAAAAGTACTAACTACCAGTCTTATTAGAGATCTTCAACACAAACAAGAGACAATAAATAACAATACCTACACCCCGAGTTAATTTTCTTATTTCGCAAAATAAGATGTAGAAAATAGCGGTGCCTCGAGCTAGTACATTCCACGATTCTAGCGCAAAATATAAAATAAATAGCTGCCGTGCCAAATAAGAGCATTTTTAAAACTGTGTTCACTTCAGTTCAACCTTTGTTTAGCAGATTGTTAATTAACTTTTTCCTTTAAGGGAGTTTTCTTTGTTTTTTTCCTGTACCTTAAATCTCCACTTGCTTATTTTTTGCCAATATAATATTAAAACACAAAAACAAAGTATCTGCAAACGATTTATGAATCTAAAAAATATATGGTAAGGTGTACATACCTAAGAACCTTGCTTTCATTTTAAAAACAGAACAGATAATTTATAAAAGTTTTTAATAAATAAATATTAAAGGTTGAAGGTTTAGTACACAGCCACAATGTAATGCCATAAAGGGGTTGAATAAATTATTGTCTGGATTAGCACTTACGATCCCAAGTCTGGGCCAACATTGCAAGCAAGAGTTGGAAATTATTTACAACCGGTGCGTATATTTAACCGTGATATATTTCCTCTTTTCTGGCAAAGGGGCTAACGTTTGTGGGCAAAGGAGCGATCATTCATTCATTCATTCATCAACACATCTCATAGCAGAGCATCTATCGTCCAAACCTTATTTTCCATCAATATATTATTGTTATAATCTCGTAAAACATAAACTCGGCGGGGCGTGCGTGTTGAATGCAACAACAGAACACGTTTAGTTTGACGTTGGTAAATATTTAGTTGAATCAGTGCTCGTATTCTTTCCTGTGAAATTCAGAGTTATATTAAGGTTTATAGTCGTTTAGTAGTAAACTGTTTCTAGAGCTACGTGTGCGATGTTCAACTGAAAATAACTCGCATTTTCAGTTGCTACGACTATTGTTGACGTACAGATCTTCCGACTATGCCGTATCATATTGTTACGTATTGACTCAGTGTCTATTATTAAACCAATTTCATTCATTATTTATAAGCATATCGACCTCTCTGTATCCATTTATGATTCTTGGATAGTTATATTAAGGATTTATGTATACAATTATATGATTACTCAAATATACAATTATGAGATGCATAACATCTTATTTATTGCTCCGTTCTAAAGTTGTAATAATTCAAAATACTAACAGTGTTATTACTTCGCAGATCCGAGATAATACTGGAGAGCTCGTTATCTACATTGAATCAATCGGAAACTGAATTTCAGAGGAAGCAACGTCGCATAACGTGCTGAAGTCTATATCCAAATATAGTATTAGCCGGGTTCTATTCACTGATTTTTAAAATAGGTACAAAATAATATTAAGTTGTTAATTTATTAATAAAATGGATATACAAAGTTAATAATTAATTAATAAACTGTATCATCATCACCAGCCTATTAATATCCTTCCTGTGGATGGAATAGGGAGATTGGGCCATGACTCACCACACGGGCCCAGTGCGGATTGGTGGGTGCTAACAACTGCGGATGCAGCCGGGACTAACGGCTTAACGTATCGTCTGGAGCACGAAGGAGCTCCAGATAAAATGTTTTCGGTCGCCCATCCAATGACCGACCGTTGTGTATGTTGCTTAAGTTCAACAATCGCAGGCCGAACGCGCTATTCACCTACGCCATCGAGCCCCTTCTCTCATAAACTGTATAAATACGATGCAATGCTTAGAAAATGAAAAGAGACCCGATTACCCTGCCAAAAGAACGAGCTAAAAATCAAATAAAAAGTCGTTGCGCTAAAGAGATTCAAAAGTATTCCACAGAACAGACGCAACGACTTCAATAAACTAGACTTTTTAAAAGTAATTTCACCTATTTAGTTTGTCCTTTAGGGCAGTCGGGTTTCTAAAACTTTGAAATTATTTATTTTTGTGGGTCTCCTTTTTATTAAAGGACTTATTGTTGGCTTATATCGAAAACAAAAATGATTTACCTACCCCAAGTCATTTAATTGTAAAAGGTGGTGACAGCATGAGACAAATAATTGAAACTACTCAAATCTATATCGAAACGATGCATAATCCGATATTTGTAATACCATTACCACCCGGAATCAACAGTAACAGCGGCTGTCAGGCAGTCCATGAAACTACCCTACCTATTAAAAGAATTTTACTATCGTAACGTGGCGTGGTAACTAGTAGCTGACGGATTCGCATTCTTAGCTGTACAGTCCAACACAACAAAAATGAAAAAATTAAAAGAAACAAATTCCTGTCGGTGTAGTGTGGGACAAATAAGTTTTGCTTAGGCGCTTAACCTAGCAATAAGGTTACGTATCACTATAGGTTTACTAATTTGCTAACTATCATCTGTTGCAGAAAGAGGTAAATACTACGGGAACCGCTGCATTCCACTATTGGGAAAGTAAATAGCAACTCACCTTAAGCAGCCAAACTGACCTGGCACTACGCAGATAATACTTCCTTCCTCTTCCTAAACAACCCTCAACGATGGAGCGGGCTAACTGAAAGACCACTGGCGTCAGTCAGGATAGCGGGCGATAACGACGTGCACTTCACAGTGATTCAACGCACTGAGACACAGCACTATAATTTCACACAGCGATGCAAGCGTTTGAATCGACTGAATTCTTGTTAACCCTTCAACTGGGACCGATAAGACCGAGATCCGCGAAGTACGCATCAGATCGAGTCGCTGTTAATTCGAAGACTAAAATACAGCGGTATGTCAAACGATCGCTTTTTAAAACAAAAGGTGGGTAAGTTCCGAATTTGAAATAAATGTAAAAGTTAGCATGACCTTATGAATGCAAAGTTGGCATGGACATTTTCCCCCTTATTAATATACAAGGAATATGCTAAGACTAGTTACGCCGTGTTTTGTTCATGTCACTCAAATGCCATTTGTCATTCAATAGACAGAGACAGAACATGCAGTTACTAATCCAAGCGTAGCCTTCGTTTATTTATAAGAGGGTTTGTGTTCAAGTCTTTTCTATTTAATACCTACATAGAAATTTAAAATTATAAAAACTATATTATTTTGTTCATATATGGTTAATTTTTTCTCTTAAATTCTAATATTATTCCTTCCGAATTCCTTTGTTCCGAATTTTGCCTTTATGTAACAGTTACGTGGTTCATAGAAAAAAAATTTCATTCGATTGTAAACCCCAAGTGCTTTTATTCATAAAAATGTTGAAACAATTAATTATATATAACCAATAGGGTAAATGATAATATTATTAGTTCTTAATCCAGGTATAGGTTAATCCAGGTAATCCATAGGTATCACGAAGTTCCATGTTACATTCCAACTTTTAAACATACAATCAACCCCTCTAGACTGATGTTGAGAGTCAAGTTGTGTTCGAGATTTTGTAATTAGTCAGTAAATGAATAACCTTTCAATTTATGTTTTTAATAAGATTGTATTATAAGCGTGCAATGGTCTTTTCATTATGTTATATATATCTTTATAATAATTGTAGAAAAAAAACAAATGGTAATAATTATTATCAAAATCATAAAATTCATTAGTCAATCCAAAACCTAAAACACACACTTACATTATCATGAACGAGATGTTTAAATGCTTTTATATAAAATTTAAAAAATACATATACTCTTTCAAAATCGTTATGTCCACTGCCAAGAGTTATATCGTTATACACCAATGTTAAAGTTATAGATATAGCATAAAATTATATCCATTGTAGGTATATATAAATATTATATCTATTGTAAATTCGTGACATACAAAGTTGAAACACACATAAATTTCACTATATATTTTCAAAACCTATTTTACTATTTTATTGTTAAAAGCTACTGTATGCTTTACTTATAATTTAGGTTATAAACCCACAAAAGTAGCAAAATATAAAATAAATTTTGTATCTGGTTTTTGTTATGCTAGTATTTAGTGATACAAATATAGCTATACTGATACCATACCATCTCTAATGTTATCACACGGTAAATTTGAGTGCTTTTGCTTGTTATTGCTAAATTAGATTAGACAATTAACGTTGGAAGTATCTGTAAGTGCTTTTCTAAATAGACAATGGTTCAGACAAACACACCATATTTATATTATTCATTTGTATGTTTTCAATATAAATAAAAAATACTTTTTCAATAAGTACTCCATACACATATTATTAAAATATGAATCAGAACGCATACGTACATACTTAAATTCCGAGTTTCTTTTTTTAAACGGAATCAATATACCCATTTTTATAGCTCTTATAAATAATTCTGAAAGTAGTGGCAGTGATAGTTGTCATTAACAAAAAAAACGCACCAAGTTAACACTTACCAATGCACGTGGTGTCAATATGTACATGCGGATGTCAGCCAGCAGACGCGGCCGCGTGCTGTCCGCTCATCTCCGAAGTCAGTCACCACTGGCAAAAAACTTTTGAGAACACCCTCCGAATGCGGTGAAAAAGTTACCAATACTTCACGGAGAAATGTAACGTGAGAAGTGACGGGAACGCGACGCGACACAGCCTATACCCGGCGCGGAGGCAAAAAGCCGACTGCCGCTTGGGCGGGCGGGCGACCCCCGCCCAGGCCACACGCCCCGCTGATGCCTTAAATTCCTCGCATACTTTAACGTCTCTTAAGCGCGGTAAAGTGTTTATCAAAAGCTCGTGCGATTGCAAAAGACGTATAATCGTTCTCGCAGCCGATATTGATGTAGGTATTTCAGCCGCAAGTTTAACAGACTTGTTTCGTAAGCACTCGTGAAACGTAACACTTTGTGTAAATCAGGAGTTCGTCGACAGCACGAATGACTTAACTTGAAAGACCGAAAGATCGGGTTGTAAGGCAATTTGAGAGTTTCAATAATTAACTATGTGGAGGTATACCCTGATTACTAAACCGATTAAATGTATTTGTAAATTACTGCCGTAACTTTAGACTACATTCATTCATTTTGTTTCACGGCAGCATCAAGCAGAATTCATTATAAATTATTTATGACGTTGCGCGCTGTGTTCTATACAGGGGTAAGATCCAAGAGAAATTTATTGCACATAATTCGTTATTTCTATTACTTTATCTTAGTTTATGAAAAAAAAAATATTTAGGTAAAGCGTGCCTGTCATTCGTTCATCATGATATGAAATGCAAATAAAAGGAGATTCAGTCATGAGTCATGACCCAGGGTGGACCGTCGGGCTCTTCTTGATTCAATTGATATCCCATATAAACTTCGACCCCTTTTCATAATACCATATTTATACCAAATTTCATCATAATCAGTTCAGAGGTTTCAGCGTGAAGAGGTAACAGACAGACAGACACATTTTCGCATTTATAATATTAGTTTTATTTGAATCCAATAAAGCTGTTCGCTTATTCTGAGGTCCTATCTACATATTTAATTAAGGTTCCCCGTGGCTATTATAGCCAGGGGGCAAATGTAAGTATTTCAAATAACTCGTTACTATTTCGTTTTTAAAATAAATTACACATGTGGCCCTGTAGATTAACTTTATACATATAAATAGATTCTGCCATAAATACGTAAACTGCATGTAAATAATTAAACGTTATTTTGAATAAGTTAATCTACCAGAGTGGAGAAGGAAAAGGGCCGACTGTTTCTCCTTTGGAATCTTTGTGCTAAGTTGTTTTATTTTTTTAGATTTGCATTGCTAAATTTATAAATCTAAAGAAAAAATGTGCGTCCGCCCTGATGGCCGGAGTGCAGAAGGTGCGGGTTTGAATCCTGTTTGACACCTGGACCTGGATTTTTTAGTAGTGAGTACCTAACTTACATTTATAAATCTTAGTTCTAAGTTAAACAAATCTTCAAACTTATTCCTTAATAAAAAATAAATGCTTGCTTCTAACTTTAGAGATTTTTCAAATAAAACTAACGAAATCAATTGTCTGCGAGCTACAATGCGACAGACAGGTTCACAGATATGTATCAACCAGCACCGCCTCTACTCGTATGTTTGATATTCTTTTATATTTCTGAATTATATTAGATTATATTTCTATGGGTATAATGCACACTACGTCAACTCCGTACCGTCACCGGATCGGCTCGCTCGCAAGCTTGCCGTGTGCTGGCCGCTGGTTTTAAACGCGTTGCTCCAGCCGGCCTATTAGTTACCTTTTTTGGTTCATTGCATATCCATCGATGCCTTTCAGAACAAGTATTTTAGTGGCATTATATTAATAAAGCAGTAGTAGATCACCAAATATGTCGGTGATTATCACTCCCATCTGTCAAAAGCAGTTAGCGAATAGGCCTACTGAGTTGTCCCTGAGTTGAACCTCAACTACGCAGCGACCGGCGTGGCGTTTACTGGTTGAGAACGAGACGACCCAAAGCCCACCCGATGTTAGCTGGTTGACAACGCGGTGTCCACCTACGTTTCCTCGTCGATAACGTGGACGTTGCGCAACGAGGCGGTGCCGGTCTAATGTGTTATGACCTTTATTCGCGCGTAAGCCAACACCACCAAAAAGTAGTCAAATTTCACTGTATTCTTGTGTGTAGAAGTGGTTTTGTGTTGTATAGAGTTGTGTTGAGATTCAAGCGGAAATATATTATATCCCAAAATTTACATTGAAGTCACTAATCAATAAATATATTCTATGTGTTATTCTTAAAATTGTATATTGTATTTTACTAATACCAGTGTGCCTCTAAATACAATTAAATTAAAATCTACGTACGTGCCCGCTAAAGCCATTGTTTTTTTTTGTAAAATAAGAAGATTATTAGAGTTAAAATAAAAATACAGGTAATTATTGTGTCTGTGTGTGTGTGTGAAACAACGTAAAAGTTTTAATAACGCACGACCTCACATTGCGAATGCTTGACGCGGCCTGATACTGACGATCACTGATCAGGACCCCTGATCCACCCCTGATACAAAAAAAACTGTATAAAATTCTGTTGAAATTTATTTTTGACATGGTGTAGTAAACACATAATTATGTTGAAATGTACAGAGCCTTTATTACATTTTAAAAAAATATCGATCTTAAGCAACTGTATCGACCTATCGAGATTTTTCGTCCAAGGTATCGACTGTATAGACGACTTAGTAGACGTCGATATTGAAAAATACCCTTGGAACCTGTAATGATATATAGGTATAAGCTACCACAGTAACCTTGTGTACTTACCGTTATCCAAATCTGAAGAGCCATTTTCGCGTGATAGAGTAACAAATATACAAAGGTATTGTTCGATAGCTTAGTGTCTTCTTTATGTGAATTTCTCAATAAAAATCTGTTATTCAGATTGTAGAATATTATTCAAAGTAAAATACAGATCTTATGTAACTATCTTATGGATCGCAAGAGAAAAAGTGAATGAATCTATATAAAACTAATGAGTGAATGTAGTAACGAATGGGTAAGGAATGAATCTGTGAACGGACGATGATGATGGACCGATTGTAGATTTCTGTCGTCTAAAGAAATATGGCGTTAACAGGTTATAGTAGGCTATTTGACAGTATAAAAACTAAAGTTGAAAGATGTTTTTTCCAAAACTTACAAAACAACCATATACGACGTAAATTTTGAGTTAACCGAGTAACTTAAAAATGGTGTAAATAAACATAGTGCGAACAGTTATAAACAGCTTAGATAATACACCCCCCATACAAAAATATTGATATATATCGTTTACAAAATATCGTAAAACGGCACAAATTTGTAAATAACATACCTATTAAGGATTATCCGTTAAAAGTACGCGGATCCTAAAAGTTGTTCTATTTGAATCAATCAATAACAATTAAAATTGTGAAGGTTTCATAATTGCAGAAATAGTGCGTTAACTTGGAGACATTTTTGGAAAAAAAACAGAAAAAAATATACATTGTGGTAGTATAATCTAAATCGTTGTTTGAATTGGCTGCTAATGTTTCTCGGTAACACAAAATTCACGGTGTTATTGGGTTGTATGCAGTTCTGAGGATGAGAAAATTAATATAAAAAAAATTTCAGCTTTTTAGAAATAAATAAATAAGAAAGAAAGAATTATTAAATACAAATTTTCTTCTGGTCTTTCTTCATGTACTCATACGATGACATCAGGACCCAGTCCTCGCCTCAGTACATAAAATAAAGGCAAGAAATCATTCAAACAAATTCAATCTTTTGTACTAAATTAACCAAAGATCTTTCCGTTTTAAAATAGATATTTTGTTTGTCTATATCACAACACTTTATGATTACTCATCATTCATAAAGTAGGTCATAATGAAGAAAAAGCATAAAATTTGGTTCCCAATTAGTTAATTCACCATTTTATGAAGAAATTCTGTTCAATGTTCCATCACAGAATTCAGGTTTAATTCTGCATGCAGAGTCACTAGTACAGTCAATCTGTCGAAAAAAATATCGTTTCAGTGAAAAAAAAACCTAAAGGGTAAGTCTTGTTTTTTCTGTTGCCAATTGACGTCAGTAAGCCTTGGCGATAGGCATGTTCAACTCGTAGGCGTTTTTTGAAAAACTCAAAAAAACCGTCAAAATTTTTTGAAACGCATTTTTCTTCTTTTGTATACATTTTAGAAACTTTTTTTTCGACCATAATTGTACAGGGCGTTGCGTGCTATAATTTATGTCGTTGTTGCAATCTCGTACAACAAAAAATGCGCATTGTAGGTGGCGCTAAAGTCTCCAAAAAAGTGTTTTTTCACTTTTTCACCCTGAAAATATCATTTTAATGGAAAACTTTAAATGGCAAAGTTGTTTCGTACATAATTACCAACAACTTTTGTATAAACAATTTTTTTGTATTACTTACCGTTTTCAAGTTATAAATTGCGCAGGTATGAAAAATCCAATAGAGCGGTTTTGGGCAGTTCAAGTACACATTTGCAGTGCACATTTCAATGTACGTTTTACTATTTTTTATTTTTTTTCATGATTGAAAAAAAAATAGTAAAAACATACATTGAAATGTGCACACAATCATGAAAAAAAAATAAAAATAAAACTATTTTTTTTTTCTTTTTTTTCAATCATGAAAAAAAATAAAAAATAGGTTCGATATCCTGCTAGTTTTATGGAACTTCCAATATCTCTTGAGAGCCCAGTAAAATGTGATCGGCATAGCCAAAATAAACACATATATACAGATGATGTAAGAACTAAAACTGAAATGTAGGATACCTTATTTTCACGCCATATATCGCTAGTGCAGGCACTTGACAAAGCATCAAAGATGAATTTTGTTTGGCACACTGTGCTATTAGCTGGACCACAAGAGTAAAGAAGACACAGAGGCAAAGCAGTGCGCGTGTGTGATTGAGCACTGGCAGCCTGTCACCGCGTTATAGAACTGGGCAGGGATGCCCACCCCCTCAGGTAGTAGTCTAGAGGCTCCAGACGGAGATGAGATTTCCCCGTGGGGAGATGATATCCGCCGGGAATACCTCTAGTGGCACTCGCCAATTCTCGTTTTGAGGTCCCTTAAGGATCTCGCCAAGCCTGGTGACGCTGTAAAGGTCACCTGCGACCAACAGCATTCACTTTCAAAAAAAAAAAAGTTTCTCTGCGCACGCGACAGGCTCCAGTACTCGCTCACGCAAGCGCAATAGGGATGATGAAAAACTTCGTTTTCTTCGTCTATGAAA